TGATATAAATATTATGTAAAATCATTATATATACTATTGATATAAATATTATGTAAAAACATTAAAGTATAATTAAAAATCATCAATTCTTCTAATTTAACTCATTATATATACTATCGATATAAATGTAATGGAAAACCCTCTTTGTATAATTAATAAATCATCAATTCTTCTAATTTAACTCATTATATAGACTATTGATATAAATGTTATTTATTGCATACATAAAATATACTCTCTCATTTTACTTTTACATGTATTTCAAGTTTATTTTAAAGAAATTTAGAAATATAATAAATTTTATTGAATCACATAAAATAATTATACACAATTTCATTTACTTAATTTTCTATTTATTTGACATATAAATACATGCATAAATTATTTTGAAAATATTATAAAGATTAAAGGTATAATAGAAAAAAAAATTTCAGAGTTGATATAGCTAACAAAACAATTGAAGTATTAATAAATACAGATCGTAACGCTTCGTGGAAAGTAATTGTTTCATTGATTAGCAATTATTTAAAAGCAATACCCCTGATATTTAACGCCATCCATTTATATTAAAGCTTTAAAACTTTGTTTAAATGTTTAAAAATGTTGATTAATTAATTAACAATTTTTGTTTGATATTTACTGGAAGAAAAATATTGAATAATAGTGAATTTAGAGACTAAAAATAATTAATTAAATTAAGCACTATTTTATAACTTAAAAAATGTTAGTATTTAAAATACATTTTATTATTAATAAAAATTTATAATTAGTTTGTATAATTTGGTCTATAATATTATTAGTCTCTGTTATTAATTAGAGACTAATTTAAAATTTAATAATATATAAAATTTTAATAACTAATAATAGAGATTAATTTTAGTAAAGTAATTATAATTTTTTATAAACAATGAAGATTATTTTAGATATTTTCTAATTTAAAAAAATAATGTCTAAGTTAATTAATACAATGAGTAATTACTCTATCTTTAAATTAATTATTATTTAATGAATTCTTAACTTGTTCAACTAATGTTGGATGGATCAGGGCTTACATATATCAATTCAGTAACCTTTTTCTGAGTTATCTTCTCAGAAAACATCAGGTTTAATTCAGTTTTAATCAGGGAACATTGTTTTACAGTTTTAAGGATGTCTAGTATTAGCCAAGGATAATACTTCATATGATTTGATCACTTTAAACCTGTTTTAATTTTCTGAAACTGTTTTATTTGATTCCATTTCGCAGGAGCAATGGAGGCAAAGACAATCCCAGAAGTGGTGCTAAACTCAGGGCATAAGATGCCCAATTTGGGTTTTGGCACAGGAACAGTGCCATTACCACCATCACACGTGCTCATTCCTGCATTCATTGAAGCCATAAAAGTTGGCTACAGGCACTTTGATACTGCAGCTTATTATGGTTCTGAGGAATCTCTTGGTCAAGCAATAGCACAAGCACTGGATCAAGGTCTCATCAAAAGCCGTAGCGAACTATTTGTCACCTCCAAACTCTGGTGCACTGATGCTCATCCTGGTCTTGTTCTTCCAGCACTCAAGAGTTCGTTAAAGTAATTTTCTTACCCTTTTATTTGATTGTTAAATTTTGGTTTTTGAAATTCTCTATATTTTATTCATTGTGTGCATGGGTTGGCTGATAGGCACAATTGTCACTATTTCTCTATCAACATCAGCATTTTATTTTAATCATCTTTAGCATCACTCTAATTTATGATGAGAGGAAATATACGATTACTGTTGATCAGAAGAATGTACATTAAACGTGGAAACAACTCACATTCTGAGTCAGCTTTGGAGATTCACAAGGCTGATATATTCTAAATATTGTTTAGATACATTTTAATTTGGATTGAAAACTCATTTGAATGTTTATTTGATATTGAATGTGATTTGTGCAAGATTCATCCCGAGTGTAATGATTTGAATGTTGCATTTTGATAGGACATTGGGCCTAGAGTATGTGGATCTTTACCTAATCCATTTTCCAATGAGGCTGACGCACGGAGTTAAAGGGTTAAATTATGGCAAAAAAGACATTCTTCCTTTGGACATGAAAGGAACCTGGGAAGACATGCAACAGTGCTATAAATTGGGTTTGGCCAAATCCATTGGTGTAAGCAATTTCGGGGTGAAAAAGCTTTCACAACTTCTTCAGAATGCAATTATTACGCCTGCTGTTAATCAGGTACTCTCACACTGATCACCTGCAATGAAACCTTCACAATTCATTGTTTTCTTGAACCTTTCGTTTGAAATCCATAAAAGCAGTGTATAATGTTTTGAATTATTGCCATGATTATGTTTAAAGAAACTAGTTTGTGTATGAAATTCAGCTTAAGCATGTGTGTTTGCAAAATGCATCCTCTCCAGGTGGAGATGAACGCAGCATGGAAACAGGAAAACCTGAGAAAATTCTGCAAAGAGAGAGGAATTCATGTGACCGCATGGTCTCCTCTGGGAGCCAATGGAGCTGTGTGGGGTTCCCTTGCTGTTATGGACAGTCCTATTCTGAAGGACATTGCATACAAATCAGGCAAGAGTATGGCACAGGTGAGTTAATCATAAAACATGATAAACAATATAGATGGATTATGTGATGTGAAACTTAGTGGTAAGTGTGTGCAATTGCAGGTTGCACTGAGGTGGATAATAGAAGAAGGTGCAACTCCAATAGTGAAGAGCTTCAACAGTGAGAGAATGAAGCAAAATCTTCAGATTTTCGATTGGGAGCTGAGTGAGAGTGATTCAGAGAAGATTAAACAAATACCACAGCATAGGGGTTTCAAGGGTGAACGTTTTGTCTCAGAGTTTGGCCCTTACAAAACTCCCGAAGATCTTTGGGAATGACAGCACATCAATCTCATCGATGCTGTTTCTGCTTTCTCATCCACTGTTTTCAAGTGAAAAAAATAGTGTTTCGCTTCTTCTAAGACCTTTCCTTTCAAATAAACAAGCTTTTAAATTACAGTTTCATTCTCATTAGCATAATTTTTATATTATCAAACAGTTGAGAACTAAATATGCATGAATTCAGTATTCAGTAATATTCCTATAAGCGACATATTTTTCAACCGTTGCCATCATTTTCATCCTTCTCTCTACGTGCTTTGTCCAAACGGTTCTAACATAATGGTTTTTTGAGGTACGTGTAATAACATAATGGCTACTACGGAAACCAGAACACAAGTTATAAAACAAAAGATGAATAGTGAGGCTGGAGTCACATGCAACATAGCCTATAATATCAAACCAAACAACCTGACAAATAAAATCTAAATGTTTGGACAATCCCAAGTACCCTCTTTTCATTGTCACCTTCTCTTACATTAGAAAACACTATTATTGGAAATAATGCATTCTTTCCTGCCAAATATATCTTTTATAGACTAATTCCTCTTATACTTAAGAATATGTTGATCCAACATTATGATTATTTGAAGAAAATAACAATAACAATATAATTATTGCTGGTTTGGTTAATGGTAGTACACAACAAAAATCAAATATTAGGAAGGAAAATGCTTTTTACATCCACTTACACCAATTGAATATTTTTAGAGATATTTTAATTATTGAAAAAGTTAATTTTTGTATTTATAAAAATAGAAAGAGATTGAAAAGTAAAATAGTGAATGTAAAATGTGTAAAAATTTGTTGGGTCAAAATAATAATATACTGAATAAAGTATACTTACATTATACTTATTCAAATATAAGGAAAAAAATAGATCAATTGGTTAATCTTAGTAGTATTGGACTCTAAGTGAGATTTTAAGTTTCAATATTATAGAAAAAAAAAGTGTGATTGTACAAGGAAATCTAACTAAAAATAATGAGTTAGGTTGATTAGGAGATTAATCATCAATAAAAAAATATTAGGAAATATAACCATTTTATGTAATCAACATTGTTTAATTTTACTAATCTCGTATAAAAATAATACTTATTTTTCTAAATAGTAAAATGTTCAATAAAATATAAATAAATTTTAATTTGTGTAAGTAAAACATATTTAAAAAATATGTATCAGATAAGATTCATTTACCAACTACAATCCCAAAGTTTAATCAATTCCATGAAAGAAAATGCTTTATCTCCATTCCATTAAACACGAAACACTAATCTTTATCATTTAATCTGATCTTGCTATGGAATAACCAGGGAAATAAGATTTTGGAGAGACATCATCAGAGTTGGAGTGGAAATGGAGGTGGGAGCCGGCGGAATCGGAGTGGGAGGGAGAGGCGTGCTTGGAAAGCTGGTAGGTTTTGTGGGGAGGAGAAGGAGAGGGGGAGGAAGAAGGAGACTGCGACACATGACTCTGAGTGTCGTGGTGGACAAAGGAGTGGAGGGAAGAAACCCTAAATTCACGGTTGGTGGAGGTGGAAGATGAACCTGATGTGGACTTTAATGAAAATCACAAGATTACCCCTTATGCAGCCACGTTATAAACCTAAACAGCCATGTTGCACAGATCACTCCACGCTGTCAGCTGGATCGTTAAATATTTAACGCCGTGACCAAAAAGAATTTAATTGTACACTTTTTTCACAAGTTGGGACCACATTAAACTTTTTAAAAAAAGTAAAACGGATTTCAACATTGCCCTCCTAAAGAGGGACAAAAAGAGGTATTAAGCCTAATTTTAATTTGTGTAAGTAAAACATATTTAAAAAATGTGTATTCAATTTCATGTAAATTCTGATATATCAATGGGGAATGGACCATGATTGTAACTTGATATAGGTTGCACACAAGTCAATAGTTTGTTCATGCATAACAATTATGGCACAAAAAATTTAAATTAAATCTTAAAAGTGATTATTTCTTTCCATATATCATGAACACAATAATAGAGAACCTCTTTCCAGTTGAATCAACTTTAAGACAAAACTTGACCCTTTAAAAAGAGATTATATCTCCAATTCCATTCACATTTGTGACTAAGTTAGGAAGAAGGATTGGAAGAAAGCAAGAACAAGCATGGCTGAAAAGAAAATCCCAGTTGTTCTGCTGAATTCAGGACACAAAATGCCAGTTATAGGCATGGGAACTTCAGTTGAGAATAGTCCATCAAATGAGACCCTTGCTTCAATCTATGTTGATGCCATTGAGGTTGGTTATCGCCATTTTTTGACACTGCCTCTGTGTATGGAACAGAGGAAGCCATTGGTGTAGCTGTTTCAAAAGCCATAGACAAAGGCCTTAAAAAGAGTAGAGAAGAAGTTTTCATCACTTCAAAGCCTTGGAACACAGATGCACAACGTGATCTTATTGTCCCAGCTCTCAAGACCACATTAAAGTAACCTTAATCTCCTTACTTTGATACTAATAATCTTAGTAGAGTGTTTGTTCAGTTTATTATTTGTAGGATAGAACTGAGATACAATTTCATTTGTATTTTCTATATTTTTCTCTTATCAGAATTGATGTTCTACATAGGTCATGCTAGTTATCATTTGATAGAAACTTTTATTAGATAACCTAGAGTACTAATGAAACTGGTTGAAAGTTTTATCACTTTTCTGACAATTAATGTTGCTTACATACTTTATGTGCTGCACATTGTTGTTTAGAAAGCTGGGGATGGAGTATGTGGATCTTTATCTGATTCATTGGCCAGTGAGGTTGAGACATGATCTTGAAAATCCAACTGTTTTTTCCAAGGAAGATTTGCTGCCCTTTTATCTGTTTAATTTTACCTTAACAAAACTCCCCCTTAAAATTAAATGTGTTTCTGTCTTTCACTAGATTTTTCCAATTGCATCAA